GGATATAAAATGTATTTGATGTGTTTCAGTCTGTTGTGGGTATTATCTTTATTGCTACTCATATTGTTTCATCTTTGGCCAGTTGGAGCTTACTCAGATTGGCTCTTGAGCACTTTTGCCGAGACTCTGGTAGTCTTCAACAGTTTTCTTACTTTCTGATATGACAAGTTGTTTTAGGCTCATCTTGTTCATTTTGTGCCTCAGATCTCAAATCAGCTGTTCCTTTAAAGAGCCATGGTTTATTTTAGTATAAGTAGAGACTACAATTTAGGTGCTAGGTATTGGATTTGTCTTCATTGCTTTCTTAGTTCTTGAGTTGGTCATTGATGTAAGCTTTTTCAGTGGAAAGACCTAGAAGTGCCTTTTTAACAAAGAAAAGCACTAGATCATCCCGGGCTAGGAAAAAGATGGTGGGGTAGGAAGGCAAGGCAGAAATACCCTCCCAAAAACATGTATAAGAAGAAAATACAGCAAATACAATAAACTTGTAAATGACCTGAAGACTGCAGAACAGACCACCTACACCTGGGAAAGAAAAGACTACATAGGAAAGGGTAAAGTGGCAGAGCCACAATCATGTGGGACCCAAGCCCTTCCCCTATACCAGCCTATAGGCAGGAGAAAGAGGAACAGAGCAGGGAGAGTAGGAGCCCAGGATTACTGTGCACCTGGCCTTGGCACTTGAATCTGCTCAAGGAACACAAGCCCACATTACATTGGATTCTGGTGATTAAAGAGGCTGGACACCAGGGACAGTTGGAACACTCTGGGAGGCTGAGACTTCAGCCACTTATGGAGGACAGGCATGCTCCACCCTTCCTGAGACCCAAAGTAGAGGTGGCAGTTTGAAAGACTTACCAGCAGTGGGAGGGGTGCCAGAGGGGTGAGGGTTGGACAGAGCTCTCTCCTCAGGAGAAAAGGCAGGTAGAGGATACCTCCCAAGCTCTCCCTAAGCACAACAGTTCAGAAAGTCTCGGGAATCCCAGATCCTCCATCTCCCTCACTGGCAATGCAGCCCCGAGGCTCCTCCCTGTGCGTGCTGCCAGCCAACCCACTCAGCCCAGCAGCAGCGTCAGACTTTGCTGCCTGGCAGGCAGAAGGAGGCTTTCCCAGCTTGCCTGTCTCCATTTCAGCCCAACCAGGGAGGTGCCCGCAGGAGCCAGCCCCAAGAGCTCCTTCATCCATGGACAGCACCATGTCCAAGCATGGTGCTGCATATCTGCCCAAGGCAAAGCTGCACATCAGCCCACCTATCCCATTAACCCTGCAGCCCCACCATTGCTGCAGGCCAAGCAGATAGCAGCCTACCAGCAGCGATTCAGCAGAGACTTTGCTGATCACAAAGGCAGCAACTGAAGCAAACTGCCCACACAGACTCAGAGACCACTACAGAAGACAGAAAGGCAGCCATACCCCCTGCATGCCAACAGCTGGGGCTTCCACAAAGTAGAACCAGGTACTGGAAAGTAAAGAATCTTGAGCTTCTGAGCACAGTAAGACACCTCCTTCATAAAGCTATTACTCTGTTGGCCAGGAAGCATAGCAGAGCCATTTAACACAAAGGAAGAAACACAGAAACCCTGATAAAATGAGGAAGTTGAGGGATATGTTCCAAACAAAACTACAGGACAGGACACCAGAAAGAAAGCTAAATGAAACAGAGATCACCAATCTTCTTGATAAAGATTTCAAGAAAAGTCATAAACATGCTTACTTATCTACAGAAAAATATTCAAGATCTCAAGGAGAACTTCAACAAAGAAATAGAAGATCTAAAATAGAGCCACTTGGATTTAAAGAATAAAATACCTTGAATGAAACAAAATGGAGGCATTTAAGAGTAGATTACTGTAGGTAGAGGAGACAGTGAATGAGATGGAAATTAGAGAACAAGAACACAATGAAGCTCAGGAACAGAGAGGAAAAAGGATCTCTAGGAATGAAAGAATGGTAAGAGAGCTATGTGACCAATCCAAATGAAATAATATTTGCATAATACAGGTACCAGAAAGAGAAGAGAGGGACAGAGGGATGGAAAGTCTCTTTGAAGAAATAATTTTTGAAAACTTACCCAATCTGGGGAAGCAAACACACTCAGGTCATGGTATCACAGAGGCCCCCTAAAAAAAGGAACTCCAGGAAAACAACACCAAGATGTGTAATAATTAAAATGACAAAGATCAAGGGCAAAAAGAGGGTATTGAAAGCATCCAGAGAGACAAAAAGATTACCTATAGAAGAAGCCCCATTAAGCTATCAGCAGACTTCTCAACAGAAACTTTACAAGTCTGAGGGAATGGCATGATATATTCAATGTACTAAAACAGAAGGACCTCCAACCAAGAATTCTATTCCTAGCAAGATTATCATTCATATTTAAAGCAGGTATTAAACAGTTTCCCAATAAAGTTGGAAGAATTCACCACTACTAACCCAGCCTTGCAGGATATGTTGAAGGGACTGGTGTAGATGGATATGTCCCTAACGCTAAATAGTTTTCACCAGTGAAAATAAATCCACAGTAAAGGTAGTAGACCAATTAATTACCAAGCAAGTACAAAATTAAAATGAAGCAAAAGAAGCAAAATCAATCATACCCAAAATCAGTCAAGGGATACACAAAAAGTATAGATTATGTACAAATAGTGTGGAGGAAGAACAAGAATAAAAACAAAAGTACTTTTAGCTTGTGTTTGAAATAGAGTAATCAGCAATTTAAAATAAACTTATGTAGTAAGGAAGCTATTCTTGAACCTTTGTTAATCACAAAACTAAAGCCTACAGTAGATAAACAAAAAAAATTAAAGAGAAATCCATTCACAATGCTAAATAAAACCATCAAATAACAAGAGTATGAGAGAGGAAGGAAGGAACAGAGGAGTTATAAAAACAGAAAACAATTAATAAAATGGCATTAAGTGCATATCTATTAGTAATCACCTTTAAATGTAAATGGACTGAATGAACCAATCAAAAGGCATAGAATGTCAGAATAGATAAAGAAACAAGACCCATCTATATGCTGCCTACAAGAGACTCATTTCAGACCCAAAGACATACACAGACTAAAAGTGAAAGGATGGGAAAAGATATTTCATGCAAATAATAGGGAGAAAAAAGCAGGAGTAGCAGTTAATAATATCAGACTAGTAAATACATTTAGAAACAAAGTAATGAGAGACAAAGAAGGACAGTACATAATTATAAAGGATATGTCCAACAAGAGGATATAACCATTATAAATATCTATGCACTCAACATAGGAGCACCTAAATATATAAAACACATACTAACAAAATTAAAAGGGGAAATAGGTTGCAACACATTCATTTTAGGAGACTTTAGCTTACCACTTAAATCAATAGACAGGTCAATCAGACAGAAAATAAATAAGGAAACACAGGCACTGAACAATGCATTAGATCAGGTGGGCTAAATAGATTTCTACAGAATATTTCACCCAAAAGCAGCAGCATACACATTTTCCTCAAGTGTACGGTTTCATCTTGATATTTATGGGTATGTGTATGTATGTATATACACTACCTCCTGTCCTTCATTTTTCTTTAAATGCATGAACATGTACAAAACAACAGCAGACTCACAGAACCCAAGAATGGACTAGCAGTTGCCAAAGGGAAAGGGACTGTTGTGGGGGTGGGTGGAAAGGGAGGGAAAAGGGGAATAAGGGGCATTACGATTAGCACACATAATGTCGTGGTAGGGCACGGGAAACACAGTCTAAAGCAAAACAAAAAGGTCCCCTATCCCATTGTCCCTCAGATATTTATAAATACATTTTTCCACTGCAAAAAAAAAAGGCATGAACATTTAGCAAAAGAAAAGAAAAAGAAAAAACACTGATAATTTCATACAAATACTTAAAATTCAAGTTCAGATTTATTTCATTGATATTATATCTTTACCTCATTTTAACCATGTCAGAACTCTTGGTTGTCAGCAAAATTATGTAATTGCTCACATGATTTATCACACAGTACAAATATTATAGTCATCTCAGAAAAATAATACCAATACTACCACCACCACCAATAGTTAATCAGTGGTAATAATTTGTGCTTACAGTATATTCCACTAGGAATGGACAGTCTGATTATTATGCTTTAAACTTGAAGTATTTCATTTCTTTTGACTTATACCACCAATTGGATATACAATTAGGTTCATTGGTTTTATTTTACTTTTGATTTTTTGTTAAGTTTTTAAAAATGATTGCATAATTATGTAAAACATTTACATGGTTCTTCAGCCAAATCACAAACGAAACTCCACTCAAAAAAATGTCTTTTCTAATACCTTTTCAACTTTAGTCCTTTTCTCCCTCTTACATAGGTAACTAATACTATATATAAATATATATATAGGTATATATATATATATTATAGGTGTGTGTGTATATATATATATATATGGGGGGGTTTTGGTAATGTGTTTATACTTGTGTACATGTGGAATGACTAAACATCTAAAAATGTGATGACATTTTCCCATTTGTTTTGATCCCTCTCTGTTCTCCCTCATCTCTAAGATAAAAGTCTAAGAGCTCAGTAGTAAAGAAAAGGCTTCACCCCTAAGAACATCAATTCCAGTTCTTAATTTTTTTGTCATTGTGGGTAGGATGAGGGCTGTTCCTTGCAAACATCTAATTATCACTTGTGAATTTTTCCTACATTAAATGCTTATAACTCTTATAGGCTGTTTATTAAAAGTAATAATTGTTTTGGATCTTTTAAGAATTCTAAACCACCTATATTGACAGTATGATTAAAATATGTCTAATTATTTCTACACTTTAGCCTAATACTGTCCATAATTATAAGACATAAAGCTTAAACATTTATTTTATAAGAAATTGTATCTTTCTAGAGCCCTAGTCTTAGTTACCAGATTTTTTGTTTTACACAAAAGCTGTAGTTTTTAATAATTATCTTTTTTTTTTTGGTAAAACTGAAAAAGCCGTCATCCAGCTTCTAAGTGAGGGTTTGAATTTTATTGCATTGTCTTCCTTTATTTTTCAGGTTTACAATACAATAATCACATTAACAGAGTGGTAAGTCATCCTACACTTCCTGTTACAATAACTGCTCATGAAGATAGACATATCAAATTTTTTGACAATAAAACAGGTAAGTAGATTCTTATTTTCTTTTCAGTCATATTAATAATACTGTAAATTTGAGATAATAAAAAATGCTAATATAAGATATATTGACTTTTTGGCTTCAAAATGCCAAGTTAAACCATTTTAACTCAAATTTTTGCTTAATGTAACACACTTAACGATGTAGTTTTATTGTTAAACATATATAATATTTTGCCTGCCTATTATGATTATTTTCATGTCATGTTAATTAAATGCAAACCCTTCCATTTAAAATTTTTTCCTTCACATCCTGTAGTGAATTAGTATAGTGGAAGAGGTCTCAATCTGGTGTTTGACATTTCACATATTTCTTAGAATTATTCTCAGTGTATGAAATGATGATATAGTGGAAATTGCTTATTTTCATCGTCCCTGTATTTCTTTTTATAAGGAAAACTTAACCAGTTATATAGAAATCAAATCAGATTTTTAATTTGGGCATAGGATTGTACTTTAAGGACCTCTGTCTCATCTGTCATTACCTAGAATGCTACATAAAATATTGTTTACTCTCTTTCAGGAAAGGTCTGACAGCTAGAGAGGCTTCTTTGAGGAGAAGCTAAAATAGGGGTATATTGAAAGACCTCCGAAATAAGAAACTTAAATATTAATTGCAACATTACTGGCAGGGCAACAGATGATAAAGCAAGGCAGCAGTTCAGACCTACAGATTTCTCTTTGAAGGCTGTATGGGACATGGTCATAATTTTTATTCTTTAGAGTCTTACATAAATTTCTTTGCTCAAGTCACACTTTCATGGAGAGATTACTTTTAACTCAGTAAAACAAGTTGAGAACAATATGGCTATTCACAGGTCTATGTACTGAACAGGAAAGAAGATTCTTATTCTCTCTTTCAATTCAGTATTGTCTATCAGATACTGTCAGATTCATGAAACACCTTTTTCAGGGGAAACTGGGAAAGTCCTACATTGGAATTAAAAGATTAAAAGTCTCATTAAAAATATTATTATAGTGGATGAACCTTGAAAACATTATGCTAAATGACAGAAAGCAGCACAAAATGCCACATGTTACTGCATGATTTCATTTGTATAAAGCACTCAGAAAAGGCCAATCCATAAAGAAAGCAGATTAGTCATTACCAGGGACTTGGAGGAGGAGAGAAATAGGAAGCCACTGCTTAATGGGAATGAGGTTTCCTTTTACACTGAACTAGATAATGGTGTTGGCTTCATATAATAGTGAATGTTCTAAAAGCCACTGGATTAATGGCAATAAGTACATACCTATCGATAATCACCCTAAATGTGAATGGTCTGAATGTACCAATCAAAAGACATAGAGTCACTGAATGGATAAAAAGACATGACCCATTTATATGCTCCCTACAAGAGACTCACTTCAAACCCAAAGACATGCACAGACTGAAAGTGAAGGGATGGAAAAAGATACTTCATGCAAACAATAGGGAGAGAAAAGCAGGAGTTAGAGTACTTTGTCAGACAAAATAGACATCAAAACAAAGAAAGTAACAAGAGACAAAGAAGGACATTACATAATGATAAAGGGGTCAGTCTAACAAGAGGATATAACTATTATAAATATCTGTGCACCCAACACAGGATCCCCTACATATGTGAAAAAAATACTAACAGAATCAAAGGGGGAAGTAGAATGCAATGCATTCATTCTGGGAGACTTCAACACACCACTCACTCCAAAGGACAGAGCAACCAGACAGAAAATAAGAAAGGAGACAGAGGCACTGAACAACACATTAGAACAGATGGACCTAACAGACATCTACAGAGCACTGCATCCAAAAGCAACAGAATACACATTCTTCTCAAGTGCACATGGAGCATTTTAAAGAATAGATCACATACTGGGTCACAAAAAGAGCCTCAGTAAATTCAAAAAGATTGAAATTGTACCAACCAGCTTCTTAGACCACAAAGGTATAAAACTAGAAATAAATTGCACAAACAAAATGAAAAACCCACAAACACATTGAAGCTTTATAACATGCTTCTAAATAATCAATGGATCAATGACCAAATAAAAGCAGAGATCAAGCAATATATGGAGACAAATGACAGCAATAATTCAACACCACAAAATCTGTGGGATGCAGCCAAGGCTGTGCTAAGGGAAGTATTTTGCAATACAGGCCAACCTCAGGAAAGAAGAACAATCCCAAATGAATACTCTAAACTCACAATTAATGAACTAGAAAAAGAAAAACATGAGGCCCAAAGTCAGTAGAAGGAGGGACATAATTAAGATTAGAGCAGAAATAAATAAAATCAAGAAGAATAAAATAATAGAAAGAATCAATGAAAGCAGGAGCTTGTTTTTCGAGAAAATAAACAAAATAGATAAACCCCTACCAAGACTTACCAAGAAAAAAAGAGTCTACATACATAAACAGAACCAGAAATGAGAAAGGAAAAATGACTACAGACACCACAGAAATATAAAGAATTATGAGAGAATACTATGAAAAATTATATGGTAACAAACTGGATAACCTAGGAGAAATGGACAACTTTCTAGAAAATACAACCTTCCAAGGCTGACCCAGGAAGAAACAGAAAATCTGAACAGACCAATTACCAGCAAAGAAATTGAATTGGTAATCAAAAAACTACCTAAAAACAAAACGTGTGGACCAGATGGCTTCACTGCTATATTTCATCAAACATTTAGTTAAGACCTAATGCCCAATCCTCCTTAAAGATTACCAAAACATAGAACAGGAGGGAATACTCCCAAACTCATTCTACGAGGCCAGCATCACTCTTAATACCAAAACCAAGCAAAGACACCACAAAAAAAGAAAGTTACAAACTAATATCCCTGATGAGCATAGGTGCAAAAATACTCAACAAAATATGAGCAAACCAAATTCAAATAAATCAAGAGGATCATACACCATGATATAGTGGAATTCATCCCAGGGATGCAAGGATGGTACAACATAAAAAATCCATCATCATCCACCACATCAGTAAAAAGAAGGACAGAAACCACATAATAATCTCCATAGATGCTGAAAAGCATTCAACAAAATTCAACATCCATTCATGATAAAAACTCTCAACAAAATGGGTTTAGAGGGCAAATACCTCAACATAATAAAGGCCATATATGACAAACCCACAACCAACATTATACTTAACATCAAGAAGCTGAGAACTTTAAGATCAGGAACAAGACAAGGATGCCCACTCTCCCCACTTTCATTCAACATAGTTCTTGAGGTTCTACTCACAACAAGCAGACAACACAAAAAAATAAAAGGCATCCAGATTGGCAAGGAAGAAGTTTAACTGTCCCTGTTTGCAGATAACATAATACTGTACATTAAAAAAACCTTAAAGAATCCACTCCAAAACTACTAGAACTAATACCTGAATTCAGCAAAGTTGCAGGGTACAAAATTAATACACAAAAATATGTTGCATTCCTATACACTAACAATGAACTAGTAGAAAGAGAAATCAGGAAATACCTAGGAATAAACCTAATCCAGGAAGTGAAAGACCTGTACTCTGAAAACTACAAGACACTCATGAGAGAAATTAAAGAAGATATCAATAAATGAAAACATCCCATGCTCATGGGTCGGAAGAATTAATATTGTCAAAATGGCCATCCTGCCAAAAGCAATCTACAGATACAATGCAATCCCTATCAAAATACCAACAGTATTCCTCAGTGAACTAGAGCAAATAGTTCTAAAATTGATATGAAACCACAAAAGATCTTGAATAGCCAAAGCAATCTTGAGAAGGAAAAATAAAGCTGGGGGGATTATGCTCCCCAACTTCAAGCTCTACTTCAAAGCCACAGTAATCAAGACAGTTTGGTACTGGCACAAGAACAGACCCATAGACCAATGGAACAGACTAGAGAGCCCAGATATAAACCCAAGCATAAATGGTCAATTAATATATGATAAAGGAGCCAATGATATATATACACTTGGGGAAATGACAGTCTCTTCAACAACTGTTGTTGGCAAAACTGGACAGGTACATGCAAGAGAATGAAACTGGATTTTTGTCTAACCCCATACACAAAAATAAACTGAAAATGGATCAAAGACCTGAGTATAAGTCATGAAGCCATAAAACTCTTAGAAGAAAAAATAGGCAAAAATCTGAATATAAACATGAGCAACTTTTTCATGAATGCCTCTCCTCAGGCAAGAGAAACAAAATAAAAAATGAACAAATGGGACTACATCATGCTTAAAAGCTTCTGTACAGCAAAGGACACCATCAGCAGAACAAAAAGGCATCCTACAGTTTGGGAAAATATATTTGTAAGTGACATATCTGACAAGGGGTAACATCCAAAATACATAAAGAATTCACACGCCTCAACACCCAAAAAGCAAATAACCCTACTAAAAATGGGTGGAGGATATGAAGACACATATCTCCAAAGAAGAAATTCAGGTGGCCAACAGGCACATGAAAAGATGCTCCACATCGCTAATTATCAGGGAAATGCAAATTAAAACCAAAATGAGATATCACCTCACACCAGTTAGGATGGCCAGCATTGAAAAGACTAGGAACAAATGCTGGCAAGGATATGAACAAAGGGGAACCCTCCTACACTGCTGGTGGCAATGTAAACTAGTTCAACCATTGTGCTAAGCAGTATGGAGGTTCCTTAAAGAAACTTAAAATAGAGATAGCATTTGACCCAGGAATTCCACTCCTAGGAATTTACCCTAAGAATGTAGGATCCCAGTTTCAGAAAGACATATGAAACCCTATGTTTATTGCAGCACTATTTACAATAGCCAAGAAATGGAAGCAACCTAAGTGTCTTTCGGTAGATGAATGGATAAAGAAGGTGTGGTACATATACACAATGGAATATTACTCAGCCATGAGAAGAAAACAAATCCTACCATTTGCAACAACAGGGATGGAGCTAGAGGGTATTATGCTCAGTGAAATAAGCCAGGAGGAGAAAGACAAGGACCAAATGATTTCACTCATCTGTGGAATATAACAACAAAGCAAAAACTGAAGGAAAAAAACAGCAGCAGACTCACAGAACCCAAGAATGGACTAGCAGTTACCAAAGGGAAAGGTTACTGGAGAGGGTAGGTGGGAAGGGAGAGAGAAGGGGAATAAGGGGCATTACGATTAGTACACATAACATAGGGGGTCACGGGAAAGGCAGTATAGCACAGAGAAGACAAGTAGTGACTGTAGCATCTTACTATGCTGATGGACAGTGACTGTAATGGGGTATGTGGTGGGGACTTGATAATGGGGGGAATCTAGTAATTACAGTGTTCCTCGTGTGATTTTATATTAATGATACAAAAAAAAAGCCACTAGATTATACCTTCTCAAATGGTTAAAATGGTAAATTTTTTGCTAGGTGAATTTTATCACTGTTTAAAATATTGCTAGAGTGATTATATATTTTATATTAGTGCTGTATTATTTATGGTTTCTGGTCTCTCATGTCAGTAACTTTGTGAAAACTTAGTATTCTGTGTTGTGTTTTGTTTAGGTAAAATGATCCATTCTATGGTGGCTCATTTGGATGCTGTTACAAGTCTAGCAGTAGATCCTAATGGAATCTATTTGATGTCTGGAAGTAAGTCTGAACTTCTGTACTGCCACATATTTATAAGAGAATTGTTGCTCGATGACATACTTTATTTGTTCATTTACAGGCCATGACTGTTCTATTAGATTGTGGAATTTGGACAGCAAGACATGTGTGCAGGAAATAACAGCACATAGGAAGAAATTAGATGAATCAATTTATGATGTTGCTTTCCATCCATCGAAAGCATATATTGCCAGTGCAGGGGCTGATGCCCTTTCCAAAGTATTTGTGTGAACCAACAAAAACTCGACATTATAACAACAGATTTGCTTGAAGAGAAAGAGGGTCTGCATCACTGCCATCAAAAAGGTTACTGATACGACACTACATGCGATCTGCCTGGTGAAGGCTCTTTGGGGCAAGCATAAATTGGTGGAAATCACATCTTAATGTCGGGCTCATTAATTTAATTGTAACTTACTATATTTCATGGGACAAAAAGAGGACTCCATTATTTGTACTGGATAGAACTGAGTGTATGTCTGTTTTTTAGGTATCTTTAAGCCAATGTGGAATCTAATCTTACAAAAAAGACTTCTATTTTGGACTCTGTGTGCTGCCTTAGGGTTAGGAATGTGGTGCTCTTGTTGGGGGAAGTGAGCTCCAAGAGTAGCTTTTTTTTTCATCTCTTAGTGATCTTCTGTTTATCAGTTGAATGCCACAGATACCCTTTTAAACTTATTTTGCTTTAAAAAAAAGAAAGAAAATTTAACTTAAAATATTTTAGCATTAGTTGCATAAAATGTTTGGATAAAATTCTAGTTTTTATAAGTCTTTTTATATATTTAGCCTGTCACAACAGTGCTCAAGATTGTATTGAAGTTTTTCTGCATTAACAACCCTAAAACACAGAGATCTCACTGACCCGCTGCCATGTAGCCACACTTGTTCCTTCTTTTGCCTAATACAGCTCAGCTAAGTCCTTCCATAAAGATGCTACATCACCTTCATCATCACGTAATTGTCTTTGTAAACCAAGGACTATTACATGTATTAAGATAAAACAGTGGGGTTTAATACTCCAAATGAATTCTTAAAAACTAATCTTGGCATCCTATCACTATGTGATATTTTGTACATCTTACTGTATTTACAAGTTTATTTATCAAGGATTATCCATCTTGCTAATAGCCTATTATTTATTTCACTTTCTTTTGGCCTTTATATCCTTTTATTAATGTGCTAAAGGAACCTGTATATCTATTTTGGGACTCTTTAAATAGTCTAAAATAGACTAAAAATGGAATATTTTATAGTTTGAGTTACAAACCAGGGAGATTCCCCCCATTACATATCTTGGTTTACCATGATTCCAAACAAAAATACTTTGTTTAAAAATATTTGGAGTAAAATTTTATTTGCGTTACAAACAGGATACAAAAATAGTTGAATCAGGTTACAGAAATCTGTGTTTGGACCGGTTATCCCTGTTTTATTTTTTCAGATGTGCTTAATTTTATGGTGTAACTAAAGATTTTGTTTGTGTAATGCATGATTAAGACAATAAAGTATTTTTTCTAGTCTTCCCAAAAAAATTTTCTGATCAGTTTGCAAGTTTTGATGAGTTTTGTAAGGTTTTGTTTTACAAACTATGAATCAGCAAATTTTTATTGTACCACATAGCAAACGTACATCTGTTGAAAAATAATGTATATAAAATGCATATAATAAATATTAAATTGTGTACCTGTATGTTACTGTTGGCTACATTATTTTGTGTTGAATAAATATAAAGTGCAATACTTGACTCTCCATCATTAAAATAGGAAATGGAGATGATTTCTCAGTGAGTCTTTAATTTTTATGCTGTTCTTTTAAATTTTGTACTGCTATTGATACTCTAATATGATTAGATCAGTTAACACTATTAAGAATGCCTTTTAAAGTATTTCATCCCATTTGGGTATTTAAAAAAATCTTCTATTGAAATAAGATAATTTGAAATAACCGAAAAGATTCAGAGATGCAATTTTAAGTTATTTCCTTAGACATCCTATTACTTTATTAAATCTGAATTTCATTTAATAGTGTTGTCATTCCTGTCTGCCCATACTTGTTTCCACAAAAAAGTTCAACAGAGAATAAATTGCTTTATTCGTTAATTAAAAGTTGTCCTTACAAATGTTAAGTATTAATATTATGAAACTGTTCCTTCAACAAGGTAAATAACCTTTGAAGGTAATTGCAAGTGAATTAGAGTTAGAAAACTTAGGTGGCAAAATTGTTTGCTGCAAAAAAAAGAAATTTTTTTATGCTGTGTGTACATTGAGAATTTTTGTTATTTTACATAAAAATCCAAGTGGCAGTTTTAGTCATTGTGAATGAAACAAATTTTTCAGAAAATACTAGTTTTTTGGTTTTCTGAAGATTTAACTTAATGAACAAATTAAAGGGGTAATTTTCTCTTTCTCCTATGTTTTTTAAAAAGTAATTAAAAAGAAACTTTCCAAAGCTAGTATTTCTGGCAGCTATTCCAAACCAGTGCATTACTGTTTAACTTAAATGTGATTATCATCATGGCAATGCATAAACATTCACCTCTTTTGGAATGTATTAAAACTGAAATGAATAAAAATTAGTATATATGTTTATTTTTCTCCTACCTACCTTGGTTGTGTTTTTTTCTCTACAATATTAAACATGTGGAAGATACTGAAAGGATGCAAAAAGAATGTCTAATTTTTATTTGTGTGCTTCCATTTGTGACTTACAGGAAATTAGATTGGACTATAAATTGGTGCTTATATGTAATGTAATGTTAAAGAATATTTTTATATATGAACTTTAATGTGTTGGCTTTCACAGTAATCATATTCTCCCTTTTTCATATTTTATTCGTGTACTTATATTTCAAAGTAAATTATCCACTGAAGACCAGTATCTCATTTAACATGTTAAGGTTATAAATGGGCTGGCATTTTTGAAATAGGTATGCCTGCTAAAGTTGAATGACATTGTTTTAGAAATCTTATTCCATATTCTTTTGTTAACCCTTTGTTTTATGTTTACTTACCCAAAATAATTGATATTAACCTAATAAAGTGCTCATTTCTGCTTTCTTGCTGCTCTTTAAGTCAAAGTATGAGCCTCCCTGGCTGCCTCAGACGAATCAAAATCGTGTCCTTTATAAATGAAAAAAAATGTATTTTTAAGAGCACTAGTAATTAGAGGCTGGGTTTTCATGTAAGTTGAATTTTTTAAGGAGAGGTAGTTTCAGCTGACAATTTGTGGTCTATTTGTTGGGGGAAATCATGTCAAACTCCTTTTCGTTTAATTAAATGAAAATTCTTGTTGCATGAGTCAGTCATCTGCAGCTTTTTTTTTTATAAGGGTGAGTGGCAGTTTATTATTCTCTTCTCATACTCCTGTGTGCCAAATGTTCCCTTAATACTGAAGGCAATTCAGTTCTGCCTCTCTATATACAGTCCTTAAATTTCTTTTACACAGGTCATAAAACTGTTAACCTAGAAGATGTACTGGAGTATATATGTAATATTTCAATCAGTTACCACCATCATGTCAGATAGGATTAGTGTGTGTGTGAAAGGAGATGGGGTATACAGGTGCTGTTTTTAGAGAAAATAGGACGGATAACAGCACCACTGAAGGGAAGTTCTTGGTGAGGTAATGATAGTTACATTAAGGGAGTTGTGATCACTTTTCTTAGGAACCAATATCACAAGCATGTTCAAGTAAAAATGTTACTTAGAAAGCATTTTTGTTGAACCAAGTAACCAAAAGTATCTACTGCCATTGAATCTGGTAGTCACTGTGTGTGATGCCCGGAAAGGAAGCATTCATAAGTAGGTGAATGAAAGACAAGGTCTTATTGCATGATTTTAAGAAAAAATTCAGATTGGGTCTTTCCACATGAAGTAGTGAATGTAGAATTTATACCATGTCTTAGGGAGAGACACTTGGAATAATAAAAGGAAGGCAGCTTAGAATAAGTCACTAGCAGTTTTATTGCTTACATAGTTAAACTATAATGTCCCCCCGCCCCGCAGTTATTTGAAGCATGTGTTTTTTTTTTTAAGTTAGGTGTTTATTAAATGGTAAGTAAAAATGTACCAGTACACGGATGACTTTTTAGAGTACAATCCAAATATATCTATAAACATATAAAATTAAGATAAATAGAAAAATGCCAGGTAACCCTATTTTATTCAATGTGATATTTTAGTTATGTTACTATAAAAATACACTACAAAAGAAGCTTGATACCTAATTCCCTTCCATTTCATCAGTTTTTAGTATATTAACTTGATTTGACATCTACTTGGGTCAAAATATATTTGAACTAAGTTGAAGAGCTGTTTACTATTTTTCTCTTCATTTTCCTTCCATACTTAATAGAGAATGATTAGAGAAGGAATGGTGTTTTGGTCCTAAGTGTCAGATTCTTTTATTGAGCTATGGAATTTGTACATTTAGTGTGCATGGGTAGAACTCAATTAAGATTTTAATCCATACCGCCTCCTCTTTCTTGACTTTGTAAGGGTCATTATTACCATGAAGCCTCCACAGAATGTTTAACAATGAATTCTAACGTGTAATTATAAAGTAGTAGCTTTCAACGAATACTTGTTTAAAACAGCTGTCAGCATCTTTAATGTAATAGTTCTGTATGCTATATAGTATTTCAGTATTACAGAAAGCAACTTAAACATTATATAATTGCACTTTTTCTTTCAGTTGTCAAAATGTCACCATTATTGCTGGGATTCTAAGAAATCTCTACAGATGCCTCTGATTACATCAGACACAATTGGTTCTAATCCTGTGAACTCTCTTGTGAAGAAAGCATGTGACTCCTTTGGTTTAGAGGCCATATCTTTCAGGTCATCCAGAGGTGCCCAAGCCACACCAACAGAGAAGATGGTGACACCTACAATGAAATATTTTTAAGTGAATTCAAACCAAGTTATAGCTTAAATATAAAAATACATGTATATATTTTTCATAAATTAGTACATAGTTGCAGAGGAAACTGCCTAGCAATGTCTGAATTAAGTCTGTACCAAATAGCTAGGTAAGTTTTAGTAGTCATTGTGATGAGAATGACTAACAGGTTGGTCAAACCCAGAAGCTTTGGGATAAGTGTAGTTTACCCGCTAAACAAATCATAAGATCTTTGACTTAGAAAAAGACATGTGATAAAGTTGAATATCCATTCATGATAGAAGATATTAAGCTAAAAGTAAAGGGAAACGGACACCCTAACCTGATAAAACAAAACCAAAAAATACCAAACCAAACCCTACAGCAGGCATACTTACAGAAAAGGTGGAAACTTCCCTTCTGAGACTAGCATACAGGCTGCCTGCTATGATCAATTAATGATTATACTGTAGTCATAGCCAGTACAACAGCAAGAAAGAATGGTACAAAAGTTGGGATACATAAATTGGGGAAGTTTTCTAAGACTTAGGTTAACTGAGGAATTGTGACTAGTCCTCTGAATAATTGATAACTTTCTTCCATTTCAGTCTTTATATTACATGGGCAAAATGACTTATAAGAAATCGTCAGCCTTTAATCCCAAAGCAAAAAATGTTCTGGTGATAAAAATAGCCAAAGAGAAATGTCTATGAAGCTGGTATAGTTTCTTCCAGTTGCTTTGAGGCATTCCATCTGCATTCCCTTGAGCTATAAAAAGGCTTTTACTCCCAACTGTATGTCTTGGTTGGGGTGGTATTACATTAGCTTCATTCACCTCAATAACAACTGTAGAAGTACTGACTGAACAGATTCTGTAGACTACCATCTACTGAGTGAAATTACCCTTTTATTTTGAGTTTCTGAAATAGTTACTCCACATCCCTAGCCCCAATCCAAGCCTTCATTACCCTTCTAGTGGTATACGGTGCTGAGTTCTAAGCACTGAAGATACAAATAAAACAACTAGGTGCTATAAAAGCTGCTTGAAACAACCTGATTTATCACCACCAGCCAATCTAAACTCTGGCAAAAGAGAAAAAGTCAAAATTTTTCCTTTCCCTCAATTCTCACTTCTAGCTCTGCATTCAAGCTTAGATTGTTAGCTCAGGCCCAGTATATAATTCTAGTTTTAAAAAGAAAAAAATGTGACCAAGCCCTGGAAGTCTACCCTGTTTTCTTTGCTATTACCAAATAACTTTCATGGAAATAGTGTGGCCCAACTTCCTACAGTTGAACTAGTCATATAAGGAAAATATTTTTGAATTAATATAGTTTATTTAGCTTTAGCCTGAGTCCAATCCTGTTATCCATAAATTAGCATTTTTTAAAAGAGTATGATGGCAAACAGGTTTTCAACATAGGCTTAGCTGCTGATGTATGAAATAAGCCAGATGTATAAAAATAAGCCAAGATATAACTTTTCTGTCCTACTTAGTAAAATGTATCAATTCTGTCCTACTTAAAAACTCAATATGTAAGTACATAAATGCATTAACAGGTGCTAATTGTATAAAAGGAAGATAGATGAAATCTTTAGGGATTAAGTAGGGAAAAGGCAGTGAAGAAGAGTATAGGAAAATGCAAGGCTGCTAATTCCCCCCTCCCAAGTTAGCGATATATTTTTTTTAAATATTGGATTCCATTAAGTTTTATCCCAGGAAAGGGAAGTTTTTGATGGCCTATTTGATCTCACATAATGTCTTCAGGAACTAGCTGCTGTTGCCAAAAGTAATATTAAGGTTGGGGTACAGGAAAAAAAACCCTTTTTATAACCGTGTGTTTTCATTATCTTAAGAAAAAAGTCACTAAAAAGGAAGCTTAGATGGAAGAGGATTAAAGTACTGGTGACCTGATTAGAAAACTCATGCCAGACTGAAAAATACCAAAAAAATGGGCGGGAGGGCACAAATGATCAAATGTTCACAGTAAATTGCTGCAAGCTGTGACTCGGGGGGATAGATTCCAAGCCAGCCCAAGGGAGGCAGGCACCTGTTAACATTTCTTTGACACATGAGAGTTCTCACAGCAATTCTTCCAACAGTACAGTGTTAGAGGAGTGTGGACTCTGCCAGACTCCCTGGGTTTGAATATTGGCCTAACCACACTGGCTTTGTGATTTAGGGGGGAAGTTTGTTTCCTGATCTGTAAAATGAGATTAGTGAGGCTGCTTTGACAATTAAGTCAGTTAATACTGGATAAAGCTCTTAGAACAATGACTGACACACTGTAGGTGCCTGTTCAACAAAATAAATGTTTAAGTTTATATTTACTCCTAAAATTCACTCAACACCCTCCTCAGTTCCCTTCCCAAAGGGCAAGGCCCTTACCTGCATCGTGCGCGGCCGCAGCAGGGCCTCTGACGTCATCGTAGGACTGCCCGTCTGTGACGATCACCAGGAAGTTCCTGTTGGGGCTGTTCCGCATGGGACCAAACACGTTTCCGATCGTGAAGGTGATGGCGTCCCCAGTAGCTGTTCCACCACTCATGTAGCGAATGTTTCTGAGGGCGGCCAGGACATTCTCTTTGGTGCTGTAGTCAGTAAAACTGAATTCTGTGCGCTGATCATAGGTGAACTGTACAGCAGATATCTTGGCACCAATGTCTGAGATTTCAAAAGTCTTGGCTATGTTAGAAACGAATTCAAGCATAAGGCGAAAATTACTGTCTCCTACACTGCTGGAGCCATCGATTAGAAACGCAATGTTCACTGAGTTATAACAGGTCTTGCTGCACATCATTTGCTCGTGAGTGCAGAGCTTCTGTACCAGAGGCTTTACATACTTTGTGGTGCCAAACCAGTTGGGCATGTGGTAAGAGAAGAAGCCATTACTCCGACAGACAGCCTGATGGGAGAGACATAAAAGATGTCCAAAGAGATCAAAAGTAGTTTCCTAAAGTTAGTCCAGATATGGGCCAGTCAGCACTATGCCTTGGGGTCCAAAGTTGAATCACTTCTGTTCATAGAAGACACTCCTCACCTCCTTACCTTGTCAACAAACGCAACATCCTGAACCATCCCCAGTTCTTCAGGAATAGGCTTGGCCACAGAAACTATAAATACATTGACACCAAACTCTCTGGCCACAATGCCTGCTTCCTCGATGTCATCAGAAGGC